CCCCCCCCTCTTCAAGTCCCCCTCCTTTTTTAATTTCCTCTCCCCCTTACCACCAATTTTTTTTTCTCCTTTTAACTCCCCACATCACTTTTCTTACTTTGATTCTTTTATCAAATACAAACAACAAATGTTTGAATTTTTTTAAAGAATTTATATAAAGGCAAACATCACCAAACAACAAAATTTATAATTTTTTACTCAATTATATCTCTCCCTTTATTTTTAGGGGGAGGAAACTTGACTGGAAGATTGAGTAAAATTAGTCTCTTTCATTTTTCAATTTAAAATTCAACCTTTCAACTCTCTATCAATTAAATTTTTTAACAAAGGACATTCAAAAAAATCTCGTTTTTAAATAAAAAAACACAAAATTAAAAATCACACTCACACAAAATCAACACATAAGGTTTTCTTCTAGAAACACGAAAAGATGACATGTTTCTCCTAAGGAAACATGTCCTTTTTAACCCCCAAAAAATTGAAAAAATTTAAAAAAAAATATTTTTATCCCAATTTTAAATTAAAAACGTGTAGACGTGTGTGTTCCTTTTATTGACTTTTTTAAGCATTGAATTGATTTTATTATTTAAAAAATGAATTAATTGAGAGAGAGAGATTTAATCAGAAAATCTTTTTCTTATTAAATAGACTCCTTCCTAAATTTTTTTAAATTAAATTTAAAAGCCTTCCCCAAACTTCTATAGCTCCAGAAGGATTCCTTATTAAAATCACAAATTTCAACTACAAAAAACCCAATAACACAAGAAAAAATGAAAAAAAAACCCTTTAATAAGCTCACGAAATACTTAACATCCCTATACTCTAGTGTCCCTTTTTATTTTAATTAAAAATGACACTTTATCCCAATTATTATTTAAAGGGAAATAGTGTGTAAAAATAGGAGAGTGACAGAGAAAAATTTTTTAAGATTAATTTTGCCCAAGAAAATTTTGAAATAAAACGTCAGGAAAACTTTCCTTAAATTCCCCTTATTCTTTAATTTATTTAAAAATGTGAGGATTTAAATTAAATTAAATTTTATTTAGAAGAAAAGTTGAAATATGGAGCCTTTAGATATATTTACTATTTGGTTAACCTTTTTCTCCATTTGCTTTACTTTTTTGCCGTTGTGAGTTTTTTTGATTAATTTAAATTTTTTCTTTAAATTTTCTAAAAAAGTTTCAAGTGAAAAATTTCAAAACAATTTCTAAAATTAAAAAAAAATTTTTTTAATTAAAAATGACATTTTATCCCAATTTTTTAAAAATTTTTAGAAATTTTGCAAAAAATTTTTTTCAAAAATTTTTAATAATTTCCAAATTTTTTAAAGAATTTTCAAAGCCATTTTACCCCAAGAACTTTTTATTAAAAAAAAATTTTTTTTGTAATTTTTTCCAAATTTTTCAAAAAATTTTCAAAAATTTTTCAAAAATTTTTTTAAACACCCTTCTCCCCAAGAACTTTTAAGTAAAAAAATTTTCTTAATTTTCCAGATTTGTTGTAATGGATTGGCATAAACGAGGAACAGCAGAAGGCTTTTCTTCCCTCAGTTATGTCCTTCCCCTTTTAATGATGTGTTGCTGGTTTAAACACGGAATTATTACTCAGGACAAAACTAATATGTTTTTGAATGGAGTCAATTTGTTCTTCTTTTCGTTTTATATTGCTGCTTTTTGGTTTTATCAGCCTAAAAGGGTTTCTTTTTAATTTTTTTTTAATTTTTAAAAAATAAAAGACCTCGGTTAGGGAATATTTTTTATTAAAAAAATTAATTTTTTAAAAGAAAAAAAATTTTTAAAAATTAATTTTTGGGAGACAAAAAAAGATAGAATTTATTTTAGAGGAAAAATTTTCTGTTAATTTAACAAAATAGGCACACTAACCAACTTAGCCACACGTACCAGTACCTCACTGAAAGCGAGAAAAAAACCTCACCTTTGCCTATTTTAAATTGCCGTGGATTAAGCACAATTTTTTATTTTTAAAATTAATTTTTAGAAATTCTGTTAAAATATTTTTTCTCTCATAAAATTTTTTTTTAATTTTTTATTTAAAGAAATATTTGTATGGTCAATTGTCTGCAGTTGGTTTAATGGTTGCAGCTATATTTCAATATGTAAATAAAACACCTGAAGATAAACAGGCTGATTTAATGGGTTTATTTTTAATTTTTAAAATTTATTTTCCGATATTAATCTGGATTTAAAAAAATTTTCGAAAAAAATTTTTTGCGAAATTTCGGTATTTTTTTCGAAAAAATTTTTTTACGAAATTTCGGTATTTTTTTCGAAAAAATTTTTTTACGAAATTTCGGTATTTTTTTCGAAAAAAATTTTTTACGAAATTTCGGATTTTTTTCGAAAATTTTTCAAAAAATTACGAAAATTTTTGAAATTTTTTCCAAAAATTTTTTTACGAAATTTTGGATTTTTTTTCGAAAAAATTTTTTTACGAAATTTCGGGATTTTTTTTCGTTAAAATTTTTTTTCGAAGTTTCGGATTTTTTGAAAATTTTCAAAAAATTATAGAAATTTTTTGAAAAATTTTTTCAAGTCATTTACCCCCAAAAAATTTTTAAAAATTTATTTTAGGTGCAATCGCTGCCTTTACACAAATTGCATCAATGGCTGGTGGAGTATATGACTTGGTTTATATTTTTTAAAAATAATTTTTTTTTTAATTTTAAAAAATTTCCTAGAGAAGGGCAATTCAATTAAAAACAACCGAATATATCCCTGCTCAAATTCAATTTGGATTTTTTGCGTTAACTTTACAATGGACTATTTTTGGGTTTATTGTTGGAAATCCTTATATGATGGTTAGTTAGTTTTCTTAAAAATTTTTTGAAGAATTAATTTCCAATTTTTTGGCCTTTTCAAGTCCATTTTATCCCAAAAACTCTAAAAAAATTCCCAAAAAAATTTGACCTGGAAAATTAATTTTTTACAGACCATTTTTTTAAAACCATAAAATACATACCTTTAGAGTTCCAAAAAATTTGATTTTTTGTAACTCTAAATTTATTTTTTAAAATTTTTTGGACGATTTTCATGGTTTCTAGATTATTTTTGATTTTTCTTCAAAGAAATTACCAAAAAAATTTTCCTTCCCTCCTTACAAAATTTTCCCTTAAAGATAGCCAATGCAGCAGGTTTAGCTTTAAACATCGCAACATTATCACTTTATATTATTTACCCACCCAAAACTTGGAAGGTTCCCATTTTTGGTGTTGGAGGAGGAAAAGAATTGAGTGATGGAGAGAAAAAGGAAAAATAAATTATACATATTTTAAAAGTAAATTTTAGGGGTTTTAAATATTTAATTTTTGACAAAAAATATTATTTTAATGCTTTATTTGTAATTTAATTTTTGATTTTGTTTTTTAATTAAATCATTGTAGAATATTATGTACATCAGGGAACGTCCCGATTCCCGAAAATGGAAAAAAAAAAGATTGGGAATCCCCGCTGTTTTTTTTTTTGTTAAGGATAGGGAGCCTATTTTCAATCTCGGCACGGTCTCTGATGCACTATATATTTTTTAATTGAGTGGTTCTACTAGAAAAAAGGGTCTAATTAATAATCCTCCACCTAGTTCGCTAGAAAAAAAGGGTCTAAACTTCCCCAGAAAATTGGTAAAAAATAAAATTTTCTTCTTAAATTTTTATTGTTTCAAAAAATAGGGTTGTCAGTTCTTGGAGAATCTTTGGATTATCCTGAATTGAATCAACAAAAAAATTTTTAGAGAAGGAACTTCAAAAATTATTCCTAGAACCACTCGTTATTCTCTCCTAAATATGTATAGTTTAATTATTTAAATATTAAATTTTTAACTGTGATTCCTAAAACATTTTTAAAAATCAAGTAGTCTAAAAAATTAACAAAGATTATTAAATAAGTCCATGGCAGGTCCATAGCTATCCTCATTATTTTCCATTATATATACATTTGGTTCATTTACTGGTAACTTGGAATTTTTTGAGGATTTTTTAAAATTAACTGACCGGATGAACCCAAGCAATTTATCCCCCAAAAAATAAAAAAATACCTCGAACGCCTCCAACTGCGACTGCAGTAGGCTCGGAGGTGCAAAATGTTTCGGATCTTCTTTTAACCTTTTAGCTAACCGGCTACGCAAATTGTCTTCGCTAACTTTCAGCAAAATTATTTTGACCTTGTGTTGTGTTGCCTCGTCGTTGCTACCCAAAAGTATGTCCCTAAAAAAATTTTTTTTCCCTAATTTTTAAAAATTAACCGATAAGGTTTTTTAAGAGCCGAACAGGCAATGACCATCTTCCTTTCTTTATTGTTTTGCCAAAGCGCGGCTAAAGACAGCAACCAGGGACGTCTATCCTCATCTTAAATTTTTAAAATTTATCTGGAAAATTTAAAAAAAAACCTGTCAACGGAATCCCCGAAGCCATTTTTTGCTTCATTTCATCAGAATGGAAATCATCCCCTTCCACAAACTCGTATCCATAAATATCTGCGAGCCTTTTAGCAAGTGTAGTTTTACCACTTCCCATCGGGCCTCCAATAAAGAGGACATTAGGTTTATTGTCACTTGGCATTGTGTGGAAATTTAATTTTCTAAACTTAAATTATTTAAGGAATTTTGTGAAGATATTCTAGTTTCCTAATTTATAATTGATAAATTAAAAAAATTTTTTTATTGTGTTAAAATAATTTTATATCTGGAATTATTAAGGGTCAGCAAGTAATATCCTCAGGACAAACTTGCTTACTATAGTAGAAACGTCCAAGACTCTTGGTCTTCGAAAGGTCTTGGTCTTTGACATCTATATCGTTTACCCTCATGGAGAATTAATTCTAAATTAATTTTTTTTGTTTCACTGGGATTTCAGAGATAATTTTTGTAAAAAAATTTTTTCTTGCAGATAAAACTTGCGGACCCCTGGTAACATAAAGGAAAATAATCAACAATTGAAAATAAAAAAGTTTAAAATAAAAACCTTCAAAAAATATTTTAATTTAACATCTTCAATCATCCTCATCAGAATCCTCAGTATTAGTAAAATCAAACGGTTTAAACCCATTTTTTAATTTGTTTACAAGCTCAACTTCTTTGTCTTTTTCCAGCGAACAGTTACGCCAATCGATGTGATCCTCACAGTCTAGTAAGGCTTTTGAAGCTAGAACCTAAATAAAGAGATAGGTTATTTTTAAAAGCCTGGGCCAGATCCTGGGCCTGTAGACCAGGAAAAAACCAGGAAGTTCAAAAAAATGCCTGGGCCTGGATTTTTGGTACAGGAAAAACCACGACCTTGGTCCAGTCCCAGGCCTATCTCTAGAACCTTTTTAAGACGAAAAAAATTAAGAAAAAAAATAATTGAAAAAAAACCTCTCGACCAAATTGTAACGGAAAACGAGACATTGTTCTACTCAACATTTTCGTCCCGTCGGGAAGTTCAACGTAAAAATATGGAGATCCTTCATTTAATAAATCCCAAACCTTTAAAAAATAAGAAAAAATTATTTAAAAATTAAAAACTTGTTCATTTTCTCCCAAAATACAAAATTCAATATTTTTTAATTGAGCAGCATTCAAAAATGTACTTTTTAATGATTTTGCTTTTGATTTTGGAATTGGTACAAATTGTATTTGCATATGCTTAAAATGTTTGAATTAAATTATGATTTAATTTAAAAATGTTTAAATAAAATTCTGGTCTTATTTAAAAATGTTGGGGATAAATTCTGATTTAATCTCTTCTAGCATTAAACAAACACCAGTAAATTTTCCGTAATGTTCAGATAAAATTCTGGTCTTATTTAAAAATGTTTAAATAAAATTCTGGTTTAAATTAAAAATGTTGGGGTTAAATTCTGATTTAATCTCTTTTAGCAATAAACAAACATCAGTATAGTTTCCGTAAAGTTCAGATAAAATTCTGATCTTATTTAAAAATGTTTAAATTGAATTCTGATTTTATTTCTCACAATGTTTTGATAAAATTCTGATTAATTTTAAACATGTTTAAATAAAATTCTGATTTATTTTCAATAAAGTTCAGATAAAATTCTGATTAATTTTAAACATGTTTAAATTAAATTCTGATTTTATTTCTTCACAATGTCAGAATTTAATTTGAACATTGTGGGAAATAAATCAGAATTTTATAAAAACATTTTAAAATTATACCAGAATTTTACCGTTTAAATAAAATTCTGATTTATATTATATAATGTTCAGATAAAATTCTGATTTATTATTAAAGCTTCAACTTGTCCATATTTTGATTAAATTAAATTTAAACTCACTTCAGTTTTGTAATTTCTTTCAAAAACACAAACAACTTCATTGTTTCTATCAGAGAATAAACTAGAAAAAAATATATATAAAATACAAAAATAAATATATACCAATAAGCATCTTTAAATTTATTAACTTCATCACGAACTTCGGCTGGTGCAACAACCAATGATTGAATATGTCCTGAAAAATAATAAAAATCAAAATTTTATTTGAACTTTGCTTTAAAATAATTCAAAATTTTTGTCAAACTTTTCTTTAAAAAATCAGAATTTTATCGGAAACTATGAGAAATTAAATCAGAATTTATAAACATTGTAAAATCCCAACAATACATAAAATCAGAATTCTATGAAACATTTTTAAATTAAACCAGAATTTTTCGAAAAATTCAGAATTATACTTAAACATCTCAATAAAAATCAGAATTTTATTTGAACATTTCAATAAAAAATCAGAATTTTATTCAAACTTTTCGAGAAAACAAATCAGAATTTTATTTAAACTTCTCAATAAAAAAATCAGAATTTTATTTAAACTTCTCAATAAAAAAATCAGAATTTTATTTAAACTTCTCAATAAAAAATCAGAATTTTATTCAAACTTTTTCCGAAAAAAAAATCAGAATTTTATTTAAACATACTATAAACATTCCCCAACACTTTTATAATTTTAATTAATTAAAACATTACCTATACTCATAACAAGCAAATGTCTCTCCATTAACGGCCCTTTAATTAAAAAAAATTTTTTCAAATTAAATTTTCTTAAATTCTAATAAAAACCTTTAGGCATAGCAGTATAACAACTAGTACCAACAGAAACAATTAAATGTTTTTCAGCATCAATATTCGAAAGGCAAAACCAGCACGTTGAAGGGTCAATTTTAGGCCTTTTTTCGTTATAATTTTCTCCTCCCCTTCTTTTACCTTTTCTTCTTCCTTGAAATTCTTCTTGATGCTCTTCTTCTTCATAATTATTATTATCAAATCTGTATTGAACCGAATTTCCTTCTTCCCTTCGACGCTTTTCGTCTTCGATTGCTTTGTTATGTAAATATTCCTAGAGAAAATCAGAATTTTTATAAATCAAAATTTAAAAAAATCAGAATTTTTATTAAAAATCAGAATTTTAAAAAATCAGAATTTCTAAAAAAATCAGAATTTTTCTAAAAATCAAAATTTAAAAAAAACCAGAATTTTTATTAAAAATCAGAATTTTAATTAAAATTCAGAATTTTTTTTAAAAAAATCAAAATTTTCTTATAAAATCAGAATTTAGAAAAAATCAGAATTTTTTAAACTTCCTGAAAAAATCAGTACCTTAAGTATCTCCATATACGGGAACTCTGTCGAATTATCTGGTTGTGTTACCAATTCATCTCTTGATAATTCTCTCATTGGAGTACACGAAAATGCATATAACCATTTTTGTTTATTTGTGTTATTAACTGAAGCAAGTCCAATAAATCGAGTAACGTGTTGGGCTGGTTCCAATAAAACTCGGTGATTCCTTGGAAAAAAAATTTTTGAAAATAAAAAAAATTTTTTGAAAATTTTTCAAAAAATTTAAAAATTTTTTTTGAAAATTTTTTTTTTATTTTTTGGAATTTTTTGAAAAATTTTTTAAAAATTAAAAAAAATTTTTGAAAAATTTTAAAAAATTTTCAAAAAATTTTCAAAAAAATTTTCTTCAGATTTTTTTGGAAAATTAAATTTAATAAAAAAAACCTATAAGGTGAACGTTCATAATGAATTCCTTGGCCAGCAAAATGATAACGAGGTCTCAATCCAGAAGCTAATCTAGCTAAAAGTTTGGAAGTATTTGATGGTTCAATAGATGGTTGATTTGTTGAGTGTAACCAAACATTGGTAGGCCAAATTGATGTTAGTAGGATATCAACTCCCATGAAACCTGAACTTGCAGCAAGTGGAGTCAAAAGGTCGTCAATTGAACGTGTAGCGAATTGAAAGGGTAAAGTCTTTAAAATTGAAAAAATTTGAGTTTAATAAAACCAAAAAAACTATGAGATTACCCAAGTTCAGATCAGAGTTGTTTCAAAATTTCGATTTCGATATTTTTGAATTTATTTCGATTTTCGAATGTTTCGAAACATCTCTGGATCAGATACTTCCCCAATTTAAAATACGATTTTTTAAATTTGGTTGACCACTGGATGGAAAAGCTGACTAATAAAGATGTCCAAGACTCATAACTTAAGGCTTAAACGCTTTACGGCTAATAAACAATATTATTTTCAGTTAACCTATCATGAAATAAGATTTTTTCAGCCCCAAGGAAGTATCTTATAGTGAAACCCAAAGTAAACAAAATAGGAGAGGCCTTACTAAAAAAGACAAGTCTAAACTCAAAAAATCTTAAAGAAACAAACCTGTGTAGACATAGCCGGTGCTTCAATTCCCGAAAAGTAACCAATTAATAATCCATTCGCCGTCATTAATGTCCCTTTCTTCCCAAGATAAGTAAGAGATTGTGAAAACTCAACACTTTCAGCTGGATAATAGGTTGAAGTTGAAGGACAGCATGGGCCAAGGATGTATGTTGGAACGGGGAAATCAATTTCTCCATTAATTACTTTTTCGTTCTCGTCATTGTCTGGACCAAAAAATTCACCGACACAAAAAAGAATATCGAATGGACCAGCCTGAATAAAAAAATTTTTTGAGGAAAATTTTTCTAAAAACTTATAAATTCCAATGTTATTAATAATTTATTTTCTATTCAGCGGCTTTTAAGGAAAAATTCTAAAAATATTTTTTTTCTGGGAAGACTAAAAAATTTTTCGAAGGGTTTGTAGCGGCTGGTATTACAACGCTGCACCTACTTTTTTCTTAAAATCCCCCCAATTTTCTAAAACAAAAAAACCTTTTGATTAACCAAAGCAATGCGTGCTATCAATTGTTTAAAATTTCCATTGACATCCCCAGAACATAAAACTTTGACTTGTCGTTTTTTATCATTTCCAAGATTATTTGAACGCATCCTTAAAAAACTTATAAAATAAAAAATAATCTTCAAAATATTAAAAAAAATATTTGATAGAGCAACAATAAACATTCAAAATATTTTTCTTTATTTATAAGAGCATTTATAAACAAAAAATAAAAAAATAAAATTAATAAAAAACATTTAAAAATCAATTTATTCATCATGTGCATTTCTAGTAGAACCAGGGCAAGCATTTTCAATATCTTCAGAATCTGAATAGGCACAGCCACACCAAACACAATAAAAGTGTTCTCTCCTCAGATAGCCAATTATGTGAGATAGGCTTAAATTTAAAAAAGTTTTCTATGTTAATAACCTAGTTCATAGATATCGAATATCGGGCGTATCGAATCGGCCCAGGCATTTTTTGACATTCCCGGGTTTTTTCTGGACTACCCAGGATCCGGCCCAGGCAATAAATCAAACTTCATAGTCCAAAAACTGGCCCGAACTTTTCAAAAATCTCGATCACTATAAACTAGTAGAACGTCCATATTCGGCAATTTTAGCAAAATTACATTTTTTAGGGTCGCAGTTTCCCTGGCCCAACCAGTTTGTGATTCTCTCATTTTTAAAAATTTTTCTGAAATTATTTCCCCTAATCTTTAAAAATAAAATAACCTATTGTCCAATTCATCCTCATCCATTTCATTAAAATTTATTTCAACAGGTGCCATTCTACCATTGCTGTAGTTATAAGAAAAATTATTTTCATTGTCATCATCTTCATTGTCACTTGTTTCAGGGAGTTTGGATGAATAAATTGGCCAAAACCAAAAATGTTCAGGAACGTCTTTTCCGGCACTTAAAATTGAAAAAATAAAAAAAGACAAAAATCAACCTCAAATCCATTTGTTGACACGCACTTCTAGCCTGTTGAATGTCACTAATTATTTGTTTTTGTAGTGCATGCATTCTTTTTTTATTGCGAAAATCAACAGCTAGGGACTCCTAACAATAAGGAATAAATTGTTTGTAAATTGAATGGCAAATACTATTATTAATTTAAACATAGTCAAATTCAGTTGGATAATGACACAAAAGGATCTCGACAGGCTAAATCAAACTACTAGGTTCTAGAGATCGAGCTGGGCTGGACCAAGGCCTGGGTTTTTCTTGTACCCAAAGTCCAGGCCTAGGCATTTTTTGACCTTCCTGGGCCTGGGTTTTTCCTGGATTACAGGCGCAGAATCCAGCCCGTCAATAAATCAAATCCAGAGCCCAGGAACAAGCCCAGACTTTTCAAAAATCTCCATCTCTATTAGGTTCGATTTAGATTTTACTTCAAAATAAAGTTGGATATTCCCCAAAATAAAAAATGTAAAGGACCCGATTTTTAGTTAAAATTGAATCCAAATTTTCTCCCACAAAAATCACACAAACCTCCATTCTCGCCCTTTTCATCATCCTGTCCATATGAGCTTCACAAACTTGGCGTTGTTTTTCAGTTTGTTCTTCCTCGTGTCCTACACCGCTCCTATTTGCCTTGACTTGAATTGATATGGGTTCTTTTATTCCTTCTGTTTGACTTCCTTCAAAATTTATTTTTTTTAAACTTTTATTTTAAAAATAAATTTTTAACCTTCTCGTTTAATTCCAAGGCTCATTCCAGGTTTATAACCTGAAAATTTTTGAAAGATGTTTTAAGGAAAATGCTAAAAATTAAAAATACAGCCCAATCTCACAGCATTTTTGGATACACATAAAATTTAGAGACCGGACCGAGACGAGATCTCGATTTTCGTACGATCCTCCCAGTTTGGTCTCTAATAAAATTTGATACACACACATATTACAATTCAAGTTTTTTTTATTAAAAAAAGTCTCCACCCAAAATACCTTTTTTAACATTGGCTGGCAACTGGGTTAAACTATTGGGTTGGTCACTAGGTTTGGGAAGCTGCCTAAAGTCCCCATCCAAAATGCATTTTTTTAAAACTTTGGCTGGTCACTGGGTTGGGATATCTGCCTAAACGATACCCCTAACTAAAATAGCCCCATTATACCCCTCATTTGTTCCTTCCTCAAAAAAGGAATCTACAAGTGAGATTAGACCGTACAAATCTTCAAAAAAAACTAAAAAATACCCATTAATGATAACAATTTAAATCCTTTGCTGTCACTTCCAATAGGCTTGGATATTCCCTCTTCTCTTCTATTCTTCTCCATCTGCTCCCTATTTTTTGGTTTTTCATTTTGTTGTCTTTCCTCTGCCGCTAGACGATTTGCATGAATTTTTAAAGAACGCTGGGCTATCCGGGAAGAATTAATACCTAAAAATTAACAAAGTATGAAAAGTATCAAATTTTCGAACCTGGTTTAACGTCATTCATTTTCTCCATAAAAGTGCTAGACATGTAATCCTCATCGTCTGACATTGGAAAAAGTATGTATTTCAAAAAGGCTAAAAGAATTTTTCAAAATAGAAAAGTAAGAAAATTTAAAAAATAAGTCAAGGTTTCTGAGAACATTTAAATTAAAGCAAATTGTAGGCTCTGCTTCATAACTATAACTCAACCCCAATTTTTCGAGTTTAAAAATGATTTTGCTATCTTGTAGCAAATTTCAAGCTTTCGAATAAGGTCAAATTCAAATTTCAAAGCAACTCATAACGTGTCTAAAATATTTTATAAAGAGGCTTACCCTTATTCTACGTTAATTTTGCAGGGGGTACGGCCCACTTAGTCGCAGGCCACTTTGTCGCGAAGGTTCTTTTTTTCAGGTATGTAGCTTAAAACTTAAATCAAAGGTAATATTGAGGGATTTGGATGTGATATCTGGGATTTGGTCTTCAAAACTTGGCATTTCTCACTTGGCGACTAAGTGGTCGCGACTAAGTGGCCCGCGACTAAGTGTCCGTGTCCCTTTGCCGGGTATCAAGATCTTGACACTGAATGGCGCTCCGACACGGGCACAGTGATCCATTTGCACAGTAAGACAATTGCACATTGGGCATCTGCACAGTGGACAATTGCACAGTAATTTGTGGTTAAGTGCATTTGTGTTAGGCTTTCTGATAAGTTTTTTAATAATAAAATGGTTTTTCTTAAACAAAAACAATTTTCCCTGTTCTATAAGCAATTTTTCCCGTTGTTGGAAAAGTTGTTCGCGGGAGACGAAAACTCGCAGAGATATAGGCTCCCGAAAATCGAAAAACAATAGAGTAAACCAAGCGGTTTTTTGGGGTAAAAAATTCGAAGATGCAAATTATAGCTCATTCGAAAGAGCTTTTTGAGTTGAGTCGGCTGACACCAAAATCATCTTGATTGGATGATTCTGAACGAAGTTATGACCTATAGGTGAATGAGTCTTGCGTTTATTTGGAATGTTTCGCGACTAAACAGGCGTTTTGCGAATAAATGGGTAGGTCGTTTTGCGAATAAACAAGACTTTACTGTGCAATTGTCCACTGTGTAATTGTCCTCTGTGCAAAAGTTTACTGTGCAAATGGATCACTGTGCCCAAGTCGTGTCACCCACTGAATTGAAATAGGTAATTTGCTTTAATTAGTTAAATGTTCTCAGAAAACTTTACTTATTTTTTAAATTTTTTACTTTTCTATTTTGAAAATTTTTTTAGCCTTTTTAAAATACATACTTTTTCCAAAGCAGACGATGGAAGAATACAGAGAAGTTTCAAGTAGACGAAGACATCAAGTTGTTGTAGATGAAGAATTATTTTATTATGTTTTGGAGTAAAGCAGAGAATTTTCAAGTAGACGAAGACATCAAGTTGTTGTAGATGAAGAATTATTTTATTATGTTTTGGAGTAAAGCAGAGAATTTTCAAGTAGACGAAGAATCAAGTTGTTGTAGATGAAGAATTATTTTATTATGTTTTGGAGTAAAGCAGAGAATTTTCAAGTAGACGAAGACATCAAGTTGTTGTAGATGAAGAATTATTTTATTATGTTTTGGAGTAAAGCAGAGAATTTTCAAGTAAACGAAGACATCAAGTTGTTGTAGATGAAAAATTATTTTATTATGTTTTTTTACTTTTCTATTTTGAAAATTTTTTTAGCCTTTTTAAAATACATACTTTTTCCAAAGCAGACGATGGAAGAATACAGAGAAGTTTCATGTAGAAGAAGAAAAAAAGTTGTTGTAGATGAAGAATTACTTTATTATGTTTTGGAGTAAAGCAGAGAATTTTCAAGTAGACGAAGACATCAAGTTGTTGTAGATGAAGAATTATTTTATTATGTTTTGGAGTAAAGCAGAGAATTTTCAAGTAAACGAAGACATCAAGTTGTTGTAGATGAAGAATTATTTTATTATGTTTTGGAGTAAAGCAGAGAGTTTTCAAGTAAACGAAGACATCAAGTTGTTGTAGATGAAGAATTATTTTATTATGTTTTGGAGTAAAGCAGAGAATTTTCAAGTAGACGAAGACATCAAGTTGTTGTAGATGAAGAATTATTTTATTATGTTTTGGAGTAAAGCAGAGAATTTTCAAGTAGACGAAGACATCAAGTTGTTGTAGATGAAGAATTATTTTATTATGTTTTGGAGTAAAGCAGAGAATTTTCAAGTAGACGAAGACATCAAGTTGTTGTAGATGAAGAATTACTTTATTATGTTTTGGAGTAAAGCAGAGAATTTTCAAGTAGACGAAGACATCAAGTTGTTGTAGATGAAGAATTATTTTATTATGTTTTGGAGTAAAGCAGAGAATTTTCAAGTAAACGAAGACATCAAGTTGTTGTAGATGAAGAATTATTTTATTATGTTTTGGAGTAAAGCAGAGAATTTTCAAGTAAACGAAGACATCAAGTTGTTGTAGATGAAGAATTATTTTATTATGTTTTGGAGTAAAGCAGAGAATTTTCAAGTAGACGAAGACATCAAGTTGTTGTAGATGAAGAATTATTTTATTATGTTTTGGAGTAAAGCAGAGAATTTTCAAGTAGACGAAGACATCAAGTTGTTGTAGATGAAGAATTATTTTATTATGTTTTGGAGTAAAGCAGAGAATTTTCAAGTAAACGAAGACATCAAGTTGTTGTAGATGAAGAATTATTTTATTATGTTTTGGAGTAAAGCAGAGAATTTTCAAGTAGACGAAGACAT